GCAAGCAGGACCTGAGCCCCCTTCCCCGAGGAGCTGCTGCGTGGGGGCCCATGGCTGGGTGGTTTGGGTGAGCATCACCACAAAGGCAGCTGTACCTTGGTGACGAGGAGCTTCTCCTGCATGCAAGGGCACTGTCCTTGGTCACAGCCCCAGCTCCTCAGAGACTGCATGCCCCAGGGCCAGCTCTGGGACCAGGCCTCATCGTGGCCATGCTGGAGGTGGTGGCACCTTGGCCATTGGGTACCAGCCAGCCCCGTATCTGAGTGTCAGAGCCCAGTAGCTTCACCCTGAGGACTGAGCTTGGCACAAAGCTGGGTACCCAGAGCTGCCCTTGCTTCAGGGAACAGCAGGAGCAGGGGACAGGATGGGGGAGACTAGCAACGGGGTCATCCCAAAATGGCTTGAGCCTCCAGAGACCCTCTTGGACACAAGCCCCACGGGGCCCTACGGCACTGGGAGCAGTCCCACAGCCTTGGGGTTTCTTGTTGAAGGACACACCATGGAGGGTCAACCCAGGAGCACCATCCAGCCCATGCACTGTTTGAGTCTGTTGAAAACAGACAGCGCCAACGTCCTTAACAACCCAGGTCACATTCAAGCCACCCACAGCAGACACCTACTCTGGGCACCTCAGCTAACTCCTCAGCGTTACTCAGGGAGCCTGCAGGGAGTCCTGAATTGCTCATGTCTTTCTTGATCTTACAGCCACCTACGCGTGACAGCTCAGAGGAGCCCTCAAAGTGCATGCAAGGAATACAGCACGCTCGTTAACTCACACCCCCGGGCACAGAGGCGTGAGCAAAGCCCGCACGAGGAAGGCAAAGGCAGCCAGCAGCTTTCAGCAGGCTGGCAGCTGCCTCCAAGGCCTGCAAGCAGCAGTGTGCGCAGGCAGAAACCATCCCTGGCAATCTTCAGAGCCACCACGGTTTGCGAAGGAGGAGGAGTGCAGGAAGGTGAAACCTTGGCCCAGGTTGCCCAGAGAGGTGGTCGATGCCCCATCCCTGGCAACATCCCAGGTCAGGTTGGACGGGGCTCTGAGCAACCTGCTTTGGTTGAAGAAGTTCAAGATGTTTAGTTGAAGCTCATGGCAGGGGGGTTGGACTAGATGACCTTTAAAGGTCCCTTCCGAGCCAAAGATTCTATGATTCTATAGGGTGGCCCGGAGCAGGGATAGGCAGGCAGGGACTGCAGTACCCATGTTGCCATTAGCTCAAATCTGCACCCAGGGATTGCCCTGCCCAGAGCAGGGGATATATTTGCCATATAAGTTGATGCAGCTGTTTGAGGCCGACCTTGCCGCTAGAGCTGAATTTTGCAAGAAAACCCTCACAACGTTTGGGTTAGAGGAGCCCCGGGATACCCCATTGCTCGTGCATGGGTCTCAGGGGCTAATTATGATGTTCATCCCTCCCAGAAGCAGCCTTGCGGGGTGCTCAGGGAGCACCCACCAGAGATGGGGCAGGCAACTGCAAGAAGCAGAAGGCACTAAGCCAGAGGCAGCAGATGAAGAGAAAGAGGAGGCTGGGACCCAAGAGGAGGATGGCTTGCAGGGAGTTTCCTCTGGATTCAGACCCAAACAAGAGCAATGGTGTCAAGAGTTTCAGAATTTGTAAACTACTAAAAGAGAGGCTCATCCTGAAACCAGAGTGTGGTATTTACTGACTATTTTGTGAAACATATATAAAAGTAAATATTTTTAATGAAAACCCTGGGAAAGCCTAGCTGTGAACAAGAACAAAATCATTACTGTGATAAGAATAACATCATTATTATAATATACGTGCACATCTCTCTATATATGTTGTTTGTATCACCCTGGTGTGTCTGGCATTGCACAGAAGAAGGACCTGAGCTGTGCTGATGGAGATACGGATTGACAGCAATCAAGGTTCATGGTCTGATGGCTTTTACATCTCCACTCTTTCAGCGAGGAATTAGACACCCTGAAGGCAAAAGGCCCGTGCACTCAGAATTGCCATCTCTATACCTTCCTCACCATCCCAGGGACCGGGGCCCTGGCTTGCTGCAGGGAGAGGAGGCTCAGTCCTCCACCCAAAACAGCTCTTCCCAGAGACACCAAGATGGAGGAGTGTGTCTCTTCTGTGGGGGCAGCATCCAAAAAAGACACGTAAAAATGGATGGTCTTGCATGTTGTATAAAAAATAATGTTTTGCTAAAGTAGCGATATATCCCAGACTTCCAGGGCTGAGGAAGAAGTATTATGCTAGAAATGGTACCTGGCTATCACCTTCCCCATAACGGCCAACAGAAGGCAGAAATGGTAATGAAGACGCAAAAAAACCATTTCTGCTCAGTTCTTAGAAAGACACAGATGACTACTTACACAGATGACTAAGATGATGAAGCATTTTCCACTATACTAGAAGAGAAAGAAAGATGTTAACCTTTGTTAAGAAAGCACATTTCTAAAACTGCAGGTCTGTAAATTTTGCTGCAGAGAATCTTAAGAGGGAACACTGTCAGTGCCCCTGGGTCACCAAACTGCCTCAGGAGCCAAAGCCTAAAAAAGTGACATTAATCTACTGATTACTGAGAGAAACAGCTCCCTGAAACTCAACCCCAGCCCATGGCCGTTCTGCTAGGGAGGGATTACTGCTTTCGGTAAAACCAGGCACCTTGAGCAGATCAGTCCTGGGATCCACTACAGCAAGAGACTGCCTCAACCCAAAATGTCCCTGCAAAACATATGTATATGCATATGTATGTGCCCATCTTCCTTCAGCAGATGGAAATCAGATGGCAATGGTGTGGCTGTGATTAGCCTGGCACATACAGGACGGCCCCTTTGGTAATAAATAACCTTATGATGCCGTGGGAGGGTCACCAGCTTGCTTGGGGATGATGAGCTGGGGAGCGGGAGCGCTTGCGGGAAGACCCACGTTCTCAGGTCGGACTGCGCTGTGCTGCGCAGCCACCCCTCATGGCCGAGGTGCGTGGTCCTTGCTGGCCAGGATCTGCGCGGAGACCAGGGCCAGGCAATAAATGCATTTCCACCAAGAACAGGGGAAAGCTCGACTTGTCATGACTTAAACAGCAAACCTGCTTGCAAAACGCTTTAGGAACAGCTTTAGCTTTAAGTCAGCAGAGAGCTCTAAAAGCCAGGTGCCAGTGCTCCTGGCTTATCTCTAGCTGCCCATTGCCAACCAGTCTGGGCACCTCAGGGCAGACTGGTATTTGCCCCGAGGAGTTTCTTAGTTGCAGGTGATGCGGAGAGTCCACCGGGCAGAAAATTTTATAGCACATTTGGAGCTATCTCATGCCTTCAACTTTTACTCTCCTTCCTGAGAGAGGCAGATTCATGATTTCTAGGAACGCTTTGGATGCTGCATCGGGGTGACTTCACATCCTTTCTGCTCATTCATTTCTTCCCCGTACTTGCAAGATCTCTGAACTGTTGCACTTCCTCTCGCCTCTTCTGGAAACACTCTTTGTCCCTCCTGCAACACAGTAAGTGCCACGCACCTCTCGCCTTGCCGCGGTCAGACTGCTCTTGCTTTCTGGACGGTTTCCATCCCACCACCTCCTCCCACCCCCTGGTTCAGTGACATTTAGCCTGGTGCCTTCCCAACTGTCACCCTGCACAACAGGTTTCCCTGGCTCCTCCTTCCCACTCCCCTCCACAACTGCCTCTGCTTCCAGCCGTCTGTCAAGACCTCAAAGTTCATGTCATTTCTTGTGTTCTTAGGCTCCACAAACTCCCTCTGTAAGATCTCCCTGGAGGTCAATGAGTTGCAGAGCCTACCGAGACCCATTGCCCTTCCTGGGACATTGCAAAGCCGGGACCAGGCTGGCCATGCAACCACCAAAAGAAAGAGCCTGCAGCTGAAGGGAGGAGAATGGGACTCCCCAAAATGCAACAAAACTCAGCCGAGGGGAAATGCCATCTCAGGTCCAGCATAATTTTTCACTAGGAGCCTCCTAAAGCATCATCCAGGGTATTCCCAGAGAAATTCTGCTGAGCACTTGAGACCATGCTTTATCAAATCTCATTTTATTTGAGTTGAATCAGTCTTTATATTAAGCAGCTTCATTATTTTTGCCTGCAGTTTTCCCTGCTCCACTCACACAGGTGATGGAGAGACCAAACACCAGGAGTGACCTCTGGAGACACCAGCAGCATGCGGGTTATTTTCCTTTCCCTGTTTTGCAGCCACCAAAGTGCCCCTGTCCTGGGGTGGGCAACACACTGCTGCCCAAGCCTGGAGATTTCCCACCTGCTGTGAGGGGAGGTGGAGGAGCTGGAGCTACCAAGCCTGGAGGTGATCTCCCTGCCAGGGGAGGAGAGCGAGCAGCCCAGGCACTGCCAGCACCCACACCCATACAGACCTCCCCTTGCCTTCGCTTTCAGGCTCCAGCACCACGAGGCTGTAACGTGGCCAACTACACAGGCAGCTGCCACCGAATCCCTGCCTGGTGGGTGCCCAGCTTGCTGCAGTGTCCCACGAATGCCACAGCGGGATCTCTTGAGGACCCTCTCTGGGCCAGAGAGGACCAGTTCCAGCAGCACCCTTTGCCCTCTGAGATGTTGAGGATTAGCTGAGGTTAATGAGCCAGGATGGATGCACCACAAAACCATGCTGTTAAACACACAAGGGTCCCCAAATCAACCCTTTATTGCCTTGTTCCAGCACAATTCACACCAAAAGCAGCACTACAACAGCAGACTGGGGGTGCAGCCTTTTCCAGCAGCCTGTGAGATGAGCGGCAGGGCAGTGGTGGTCAGTGGGCTCCCTCGTCCCCATTGGCAGCACAGCGGGTTATGGCACATCCCAACTGCAAAGTGCCCTTCCCAGCACGGGCATGGCATGGGGCGAGTGTCACACTTGGTGGGTCACCCCCAGCAGCCAGAAGCACATGGGGACCCTGCCATGTCGCTCATCAAGGCACACAGCTATTTCCCTGGTGCTGCCCCACTCACGGGAGGAGCCAGTTGGGCTTCCAGGTCTCTGCCCGCCGGTGACAATCCAGGGCAGCCACTGTCACAGTATGATGCACCCGGTTCCCTGTGTGTCCCTGACCCAGGAGATCACCAAGGGCTCTGCATTTCTTCCCCCCAAAAAGGCACCCAGGAAGAAGAGAGGCCGGAGGTTCCCCGAGAACTTGTCAGTGAAGGTGTAAATGTGGGAGCGGTCGCTCACGTTGTAAAAGGAGATTTCTCCTGCCTCGTAGTCCAGGAAGATCCCAATGCGCCGGGGTCTCACGCTCAGAGTCAGCGGGGAGATGGGCAAGGTGAGGGCCTCGTAGTTGCCCCCGTTTTGCAGCCGCAGCACCCAGTAGCCATTGTTTGGGGAGAAGAGGACGTTGCCTTTCCGGCTGGCAGACTCCCGGCACAGGCCCAAGCCCCACTCAGGCTTGTCTCCCACCTGCACCTCCCAGTAGCAGCGGCCTGAGAAGAAGACCTGACTCCCCAGCACCACTGGAGCGGTGCCAAACTTCTTGGGGTTGTCAAAGAGGGACAGAAGCAGCTTCTTGCCCCCACGCCGCACACTCTTGCGGTCCTCAGACAGGATGAGCTCAGGGTGTGCCGTCTCAGGGTCCAGAGTCACATCCACTGGAGTGAGAGAAGGGTGGAAGGACAGACAGGGCTTCAGGGCTCTGCAGGTGTGGACACGAGTGGGTGTCTGCAACCCAGACATAGGGCTCTTCCAGCTCTTCCTACCTCCTACATATATTTGCTTGTGCCCATGGTTTTGCACAGCTCCCAGCACTGCCCAGCAGTGGGGAAGTATAATACATAAAATCATGCTAACCATAAACCACATCAAAATATTTGGCAGCTGTCTGCAGAGCAGGAACAGAATGAGGGCGGCTCCGCAGACCTGGCACAGCTTCAGAAACAGACAATACTGAAAGCAAGAGTTTGTGGGCAACACGGAACCTGAAACTCCTGAGTGACCTCCTAGGCTTCAGGGTCATCTCACAACCCATCCAAGACCAGAACAAGAAAGGTTTCTCCATCATGAAACCAGCCTGAACTCCAGTACACAAACTGGGACCAGTAGGACAAAGGTTATTGAAAAAACCTCCCAGGTATTTAGTCCCAGGTATGGTGGGGGGGACCAGGGCCCAAATGTGCCAGGAGCTGGCATAGAAGCAGCCCCCTTACCTTTGAACTTCTTCAGCATGTCCCTCATGCCCAGGCAGCGCTCAGGGATGCTGTAGTTTTCCTTCAGGGTCACGGACACAGCTTTGGGGGAGTGTAACTTCACCCCCTCACACCTGAAAGGAGAGTGATGCCCATGGGCTGTAACCAGAGCCCACAGCACGGCCGGTCTCCTGCTTGGGGGAGTTTAATGCCTTTCTGTTGGCTGCACAGATGCATCTCCTCCCTTGAGCTCTTTGGCTGTGAAGAGCACTAGGGATAACCGCTTGCTTACCAGCAAGCCTGATGGACCAGAGCTAAACCATGCGGGGCGCAGCAGTACCAGTCCCTGGGAAGGAAGGAGCAAAGCCAGCCCGGCAGCATGGCGCTTAGGTGGGGACGCATCTCACACACCACAAGGCCAGGCAAGACCTTGGCTCTGGGGTCCTGGAAGAAGAGGATGAAGTCTCTTCTGCCAGGCCCCACTGGTCTCAGTCCTTTTGTCAGCCCTGGGGAGGACCAAACCAAATGCTGGTCAGGGAGGACAGGGCGTGGCTGGCATGGAGCAGACAGGAACACCTCTCTTAGAGCCTGGAGGCAGCCGGGATGGTGGAGGGAACGAGCATGAGCACCTACCTGCTCAGGATGCTTTTCATGTCCTAGAAGGAGAAAAGAAAAATCTTTCTGGATGTGTGGCTTCAGAGCCTTGGTCCCACCAGCCAGCCTGGCCCCAGCCACCTGCCCAGAAGGCAAAGGCACTGGGGCTGAATTAGTGGGGCTGGTAGTGCAGCCTGACCTTGAGCAGCCCATCGGCCGGCTGCTGGCTCTTCTCCTTTATCTCCAGGATCAGCTCCTCCAGCAAGCACTTCTGCTCCACCAGTCTGGCCAGGTTTTCATTGATCATCAGTAGAATCCGCTTCTCCTCCTCCTCCAGCTTCTGGAGCAGCAGCTTCTCCTCATCAGCCAGCAGCCGATGCAGCTTCCCGAACTCGCTCACAATCCTTTCCCGCTTTTTCTTCACCGTCTCCTTGCGATAAGAAGGTACATGGGGTGAAGAGAGGCAACATTAGCCAGGCAGCCGAGATGGAGCCGGATGCTCCAGCATCCATGCCCAGCACCACGCCCTGGGAAACCACCGCATTTTTTTCATAAGTACATTTATTTAAAAAAACAGCCAGAGGCTAACTGCCATGCTTTCACCTCGCCTGAGTTCCCACTCGACATCCTCAGTTTACCAGCAGCAGGAGTTTGCCCAGGGCATTTCTGCTCAGCTGGACCTCAGATGTCTAATGATGTCTTGGTGCAGCACAGGAAGATGGGGGGCTGCTGGGCTGCAAGGAGAGGCCATCAGGTGTTGGCGTAGGTTTTTATCAGATACACTCACACCTCCAGCTAGACCCAGGCTAGCCCGCTGCTCAGGCAGCCCAGAGGGAACACTGGAAAAA